GACCAGTACTATCGCACACCACACAGACACTCCAGTGTCAATTATGATTTGGCGAACACTAGCTATTTAATCATATCGTAACCAAATTGTCTGCAATGGCATCTAGTACCTGGTGGTACGCTCTACTACAGCGCTATGTTTTTGATCTTGTGCCCGTCTGTCCAGCTTATTTTCTGTAGTGTGGTATATCATAGTCCTCGTCAAAATCGAGTTGTGTGAATCTTTTACATGTGATTTTAATTAAAATGGAGAGGGACACGCAAGCCTGACTGATTGACACATATATCCTCTTCGATGCCAGTACTCTAGTCCATATCTGTACCAGGCACCATTCGCAGACCGACCCTTGTTTGCTGGATGGACTGATTGATAGATTGATGGATGATTGGATGGATGGAATCATTCTTGAAATGAAAATCATCCATACCATTTGTTATTGAGGGCACAATGTTTCTCGTCGAGGATTAGGACTATATTAGGGAGACTGATGATCCCCATATATAGAGAACTGTCCATTTGGAGTTTGCAAGGTTTGCGTCGATTCAAGGTAAGGACATGCAGTTGTGCTAAAGTCCATTCTGCTGGGTTGGTGTTGTTGGTGTTGTCGCAATCTATCTTGTATGGCTCGACTCGCTTCGATTTGGGCAAGCAATGATTTGGTCGGGCGGGTAGAGTCGGTATCGATGGGAACCGTCTTGTGCCATTTCTGGTGGGTTATTGTGTTCATGATTGGTGGTGTGCGATTGTGAGACAAAAGGACGAAAACGCAGGAATCGTACTTGGCTGTACTTAACACTTACCTTGTGTCGCCCGGTGTTATGCCCACCAGCAGCCATGATGTCGTCTGTATCTATCAGTGATGACAGTGGCGAAAGTCCTGGATTGCTGGAGTGCACTTTCATTGGAGAAGCCACTGGTGTCATCAAGAAGGAGGATGGCGAGGAAGGCTCAGCGGTGGGTGCTGTTTCTGGTGAGGAAGTAGCCACCTGCTGCTGAAGCTGCTTCTTCTGTAGTTCGTTCTCTTCCATCATCATTTCCATGGGAGTGGAGGTATCGTCAATCGTGCTCATTGCTGTCTTAATTGCTTTCTTTGTCTTGAGAATCGAAGGTTTTTGTTTTTCTTGTTCTTGGGGTTGTGGCAGTATTGTTTGGGATTGAGCGACTTTTTGATGTGGGTGCGGAATCGGTGTTTTAAGGCCAGGCAGACATACCTGAGACTGGTTGGCTCGCTGACTGAAGCCGACAACACTAGCGATTTGTATGTGCGCGTTATGCGTACGTTGAGCGATAGTTTGCTTGGATGTTTTCACATCAACACAATTAATTTTTAAGGCATCAAGGTTTTACGATTATCCTTTGAGGTCAATGCACATCCTTTAAACAGTTTATCAGCTCCCATCACTCTACGATTCTGTTATGATGCTACTACACCTACGACTAATGCTCTTTATAACGCATTTTCCTTTGAAGTCAATGCCTGAAACGACAAGACGCTTTGATTTTATGAAATGAGCCAAAATGAGCCAAAGACGGTTGAATTTTCCAAGAAGTCGACCAAGACAAAAGGCTGAAGAAAATCTACTGAAGTCAGTGCTTTTACTCTCGATAAGAGCAAGGCTTGACTGGTCACGGCGGAACCCACTGTTGTATCAGTAATGTATTGAAAATTACAAGCGATGCATTGGATTCTTGAGCCACCAGACCAACCCTGGCGGAAGATGATGGACGACAATTTCTATGAATACGTCCCCACCATTCTTTGCCACACCTGCGGCTGACCTCAAATTGATGACACTACTGCTGAGCATCCGGTTGATTCTAGGACTGAACTTGACATCCACGCCAATGTAAATGTGCTTGGATCCAGTGGTTCTGTTCTGAGTGATACTGACCGACATACATCGGTCCGACCTACAATTCCCGAATATGCTGCATAGGAACATCCCGAATTTTTGATGCTGCCCTACTACTACATGACGAGGATGACCTGTTTGTCTGACCCCTTTTCTGATCATCATACAATAAAGAAATTTTGATGAACATCAAAAAGATTGATGATTGATCCGATATATATATGATATTGATCAATGTGTGATTTGATATATCTATGATATTGATCGGTGATTCAATATTTCTATGTTTTGATATTTATCGATGTGTGATTCGATATGTCTATGATATTGATCGATGATTCGATATATCCATGTACTGGTGGATGTAGGTCTCCAGCCCTGACCAAACCACGTACCCTGTTTTGTTGAAATCCTTGTTTGTGAACTGTTTGTCCAACCTTTGAAACAAAGTCCTTGCCCCATTTGCAATCTGTTACGCTTTAGCGCGTTTCCAGCTTGAGAGGAGTGTTTTAAGGCCAGGCAGACATACCTGAGACTGGTTGGCTCGCTGACTGAAGCCGACAACACTAGCGATTTGTACGTGCGCGTTATGCGTACGTTGAGCGATAGTTTGCTTGGATGTTTTCACATCAACACAATTAATTTTAAGGCATCAAGGTTTTACGATTATTCTTTGAGGTCAATGCACATCCTTTAAACAGTTTATCAGCTCCCATCACTCTACGATTCTGTTATGATGCTACTACACCTACGACTAATGCTCTTTATAACGCATTTTCCTCTGGAAATCAATGCCTGAAACAACAAGACGCTTTGATTTGCTGAAATGAGCCCAAATGAGCCGAAGACGGTTGAATTTTCCAAGAAGTCGACCAAGACAAAAGGCTGAAGAAAATCTACTGAAGCCAGTGCTTTTTTTCTCGATAAGAGCAAGGCTTGACTGGTCACGGCGGAACCCACTGTTGTATCAGTAATGTATTGAAAATTACAAGCGATGCATTGGATTCTTGAGCCACCAGACCAACCCTGGCTGGAAGATGATGGACGGCAATTTCTATGAATACGTCCCCACCACTCTTTGCCACACCTGCGGCTGACCTCAAATTGATGGCACTACTGCTGAGCATCCGGTTGATTCTAGGACTGAACTTGACTCCCACGCCAATGTAAATGTGCTTGGATCCAGTGGTTCTGTTCTGAGTGATACTGACCGACATACATCGGTCCGACCTACAATCCCCATATTTCAGTCCATTGCCCATTACTTCATCCGTAACGGAGCTACAAAACATGAACGGCGAAGGTCAAAGGTCAACACTCATGAAAGTGACGTTGATTTGACTAATGACTGCTCTATGGCGAAGAATGAGCCTGCTTCACCAAGTCCATGGGCGGTAAATGATTGTATGTCAATGTATTGATGTGCTTGGTATGTATCAATGTGTGATTTGATACGTATCTATGAAAAGGATCGATGTGTGATTCGATATGTATATGATATTGATCAATGTGTGATTTGATATATATCTATGATATTGATCGGTGATTCAATATTTCTATGCTATCAAAAAAGATTGATGATTGATCCGATATATATATGATATTGATCAATGTGTGATTTGATATATCTATGATATTGATCGGTGATTCAATATTTCTATGTTTTGATATTTATCGATGTGTGATTCGATATGTCTATGATATTGATCGATGATTCGATATATCCATGTACTGGTGGATGTAGGTCTCCAGCCCTGACCAAACCACGTACCCTGTTTTGTTGAAATCCTTGTTTGTGAACTGTTTGTCCAACCTTTGAAACAAAGTCCTTGCCCCATTTGCAATCTGTTACGCTTTAGCGCGTTTCCAGCTTGAGAGGAGTGTTTTAAGGCCAGGCAGACATACCTGAGACTGGTTGGCTCGCTGACTGAAGCCGACAACACTAGCGATTTGTACGTGCGCGTTATGCGTACGTTGAGCGATAGTTTGCTTGGATGTTTTCACATCAACACAATTAATTTTAAGGCATCAAGGTTTTACGATTATTCTTTGAGGTCAATGCACATCCTTTAAACAGTTTATCAGCTCCCATCACTCTACGATTCTGTTATGATGCTACTACACCTACGACTAATGCTCTTTATAACGCATTTTCCTCTGGAAATCAATGCCTGAAACAACAAGACGCTTTGATTTGCTGAAATGAGCCCAAATGAGCCGAAGACGGTTGAATTTTCCAAGAAGTCGACCAAGACAAAAGGCTGAAGAAAATCTACTGAAGCCAGTGCTTTTTTTCTCGATAAGAGCAAGGCTTGACTGGTCACGGCGGAACCCACTGTTGTATCAGTAATGTATTGAAAATTACAAGCGATGCATTGGATTCTTGAGCCACCAGACCAACCCTGGCTGGAAGATGATGGACGGCAATTTCTATGAATACGTCCCCACCACTCTTTGCCACACCTGCGGCTGACCTCAAATTGATGGCACTACTGCTGAGCATCCGGTTGATTCTAGGACTGAACTTGACTCCCACGCCAATGTAAATGTGCTTGGATCCAGTGGTTCTGTTCTGAGTGATACTGACCGACATACATCGGTCCGACCTACAATCCCCATATTTCAGTCCATTGCCCATTACTTCATCCGTAACGGAGCTACAAAACATGAACGGCGAAGGTCAAAGGTCAACACTCATGAAAGTGACGTTGATTTGACTAATGACTGCTCTATGGCGAAGAATGAGCCTGCTTCACCAAGTCCATGGGCGGTAAATGATTGTATGTCAATGTATTGATGTGCTTGGTATGTATCAATGTGTGATTTGATACGTATCTATGAAAAGGATCGATGTGTGATTCGATATGTATATGATATTGATCAATGTGTGATTTGATATATATCTATGATATTGATCGGTGATTCAATATTTCTATGCTATCAAAAAAGATTGATGATTGATCCGATATATATATGATATTGATCAATGTGTGATTTGATATATCTATGATATTGATCGGTGATTCAATATTTCTATGTTTTGATATTTATCGATGTGTGATTCGATATGTCTATGATATTGATCGATGATTCGATATATCCATGTACTGGTGGATGTAGGTCTCCAGCCCTGACCAAACCACGTACCCTGTTTTGTTGAAATCCTTGTTTGTGAACTGTTTGTCCAACCTTTGAAACAAAGTCCTTGCCCCATTTGCAATCTGTTACGCTTTAGCGCGTTTCCAGCTTGAGAGGAGTGTTTTAAGGCCAGGCAGACATACCTGAGACTGGTTGGCTCGCTGACTGAAGCCAACAACACTAGCAATTTGTATGTGCGCGTTATGCGTACGTTGAGCGATAGTTTGCTTGGATGTTTTCACATCAACACAATTAATTTTAAGGCATCAAGGTTTTACGATTATTCTTGTTGTCAATGCACATCCTTTAAACATCAGGTCGTGCAATCTGTCTCGGGTTCTCATTTTGAGCATGTATGTTCGTTATCAAAAACGTCAGAAATTACAGTACTGCACAACGACTGAAAACCAATCGCTTTTTTTTTAAAAGACCTTGTTGTTGCATCAACAGTGCATACTGGAACCGCATCATCGCCAAAATTCCGCTGTTCCATGTATCATACAGCGTGTCCATCAAGCCGATTCTACCTACAGCTAGACTTTCTGCCATTCTTTGACTTCTGACCGAAACGAGTTATTATGCGGCAGGTAACGCCATCCGGCGGCTCTCGTGTAGTAGGTGCGTAGGTGCGTTGTATTGTTTTATCAATTTGTGTTTCATGCATTTTTCAGCATACATCCCTTCATTTGGACATTACAACCCATTCCCCATCCCCTAGCTACCAGCATTTAATAGATCCGCAATCCACGAGGAGGACAGCCTAATATAGTAGGCACCATAACCATAGTATGTCCATAATATCTTCTCCTTGAATGGCTTATATATACGCCAGCAGGTTGTCGTTGTGTTGCGTGGGCAACCAAACCAGAGATGGATGCTGAAACCAAACCAGAGATGGATGCTGAAACTGACGCAGCAAAGATTAAGGAAGACGAGGAGATCAGCAAGATGAACATCAAAGCCTTCAGTGACTTGATGATCAGCATGAATACTGACACGGCAGAAGGAAAGGTTGCTTTCAATTTGGTAGCAGGAAGCAGAGACAAAGTCAACTACCCAAAAGGAAACGCGAAAGAAGCATGGGACAAGTTGAAGGATGAGTATGAGCCAAAGACGATCACCTCGTACATCACGATGAAGAGCAAGCTAAACAAGTGTCACCTTGAGAAGTTTGCTAATCCAGCTTCGTGGATCACCGAACTCAGCAAGATTTGTGTCTGTTTGGAAGAGATGAAGCACCCAGTAAGTGAAGAGGACCAATTCATTCACATCATTGGAAGTTTGCCTTTGAAGTACAGACAAGAGCAAAAGGACTTCGAGAAAATGATGAAAGCAAACACACTCACCATTAAGTACATCAAGGAAGAACTGAATTCTGCACACGAGGACTTTGCCAATGCAACAGAAGGTGATGACGACGACGAAGACAAAGAAGACAAAGATGTCGCTTTGGTAACTGGTCAATTCAAAGGCAACTGCAACAACTGTGGAAAGTATGGACACAAGAAGCTAACTTGCCCTGAACTAACACAAGCGACACGACAAGGAGGCGAAAGGAAGCAGAACAACGGTGGCAGACATCGATACAATGGAGGTGGACGAGGAGCTTTCCTTGGAACCTGTTTCCACTGTGGTATCAGAGGCCACAAGAAGCATGAATGCAGAAGAAACCCAGAGAACCGAAACAACGGCACCACTGGCAACAATGGTAACAACAACAACAGCAACAACAACGATGATGATGACGACAATGTTGCTGAGGTAATGCTGATGGCAACAGAGACACTTATTGCCCCAGCGGAGCCAACACAGAAAAATAACTTTTGGTTTGAGTGGAATGAAGAATGCAAAGAGAGTGATTATGAAGATGAAGAAGTAGATGATGAAGTGATCGTGCATACTATCATGGAAGATCCAAACGACAAAGTTCACGAGCACGGAAATTTCCTTCACGATGATTTCTTTGATAATATTATGGCAAACTTTGGACAAAATGATTGCGACGCGAAAAACGACGAGACACTCCACGCGACAAAGCCTACAAGTGAATACGCTTGTGTCACCGAAGAGGTTGACTTCAAACGCTATTCTGATGTTGACGGATCTGGTACCTACAATTAAGATGGGGACGAGATCCCACAACTAGTGGAACGGACGATGAAGGCTACACACTACATGATACGCCGTGGAGTTTGGCAAAAAATGAAACGAAGAGATCTACCATATGGAAGAAGATGCATCAAATGCAAATGGGTATTCAAGATCAAGAGAAATGGAGTGTTCCGATCAAGACTTGTCGCATGCGGATACTCACAAATTCCTGGAGTTGACTTCACAGAACACTTTGCTCCAGTTATCAATGACATCACATGGAGAATACTACTGGTTGCGATGATGATTTGGAAACTTGACGCTTGGTTGATTGACGTGGAAACAGCCTTTCTACATGGAGAATTTGATGAAGGAGAACAGATATTCATGAATCTGCCTGTTGGATATGATCTTGTGGATTCGTCAATTGATATGAGTGAAGATTGTATTGAATTAATGAAAACCGCATATGGGACCGTGCAAGGAGCGCGACAATGGTGGAAAAAGTTCGTGTCGATCTTGAAAGATATTGGATTCGAAGGTGGAGATGCAGATCCTTGTTTGATGCATTGGAACAGTGAACATGGGATTGTTTTCATTGGCTTATATGTTGACGACTGTCTTTGCATTGGAAAACCTGAAGCATTGGAGCTAGTTGAGGCAAAACTGAAGGAGAAAGGACTCACTCTGAAAACCGAAAAGACCCTGAAAGATTATTTGAGCTGCGACGTCAGCTTCAACGAAGATCGCACAAAAGCAGTATTACGTCAAATACACTTGTTGAAGACATTGGAAAAGGATTTTGGAGAAATGGTACGAAGCATGCCTAAATACTGGAATGCCAGGACAAGGTCTCGTTTGCAGTGAAGAAGGTGTAACCGTGACACCTGAAGAACAGAAGCAATTTTGAAGCGGAACCGGAAAGTTGCTCTATCTTGTGAAGCATACAAGACCTGATACCGCAAATGCAGTGAGAGAACTATCAAAGGTACTTGATTCGACAACACTGAGAGCAATGAAAGAGATGAAGAGGATCATCAAGCATGTATTGGATACGAAAGGACTTGGATTGAAAATTGAACCAGTGATTGGATCTAAAGGTGTACTATGGAACGTCGTTGCGTTTTCTGACAGTGATTATGCAGGAGACCCAGATTCGAGAAATCAGTGAGTGGTTATATTGTTTATCTATGTTGAGTTCCAATCTGTTGGAGAAGCAAAGCGCAACGAACAGTGACTTTGAGCAGCGCAGAAGCAGAGTGGATTGCCTTGAGTGAAGTGGCAAAAGAAGTATTATTTATTCCACAGATCCTGGAAACCATGGGAGTGAAAGTCGAATATCCGATTGTTATTCGAGTTGATAATACCGCGGCAATTTTCATGGCGACAAATGTCACAACGAACCAGAGAACACGACACGTGGACATTTGCACAAAATTCGTAACACAATACACTGGACCGGATGGTATTTTGAAGATTCTATTTGTGAAAGGAACTGATAATGAATCCGACATCATGACAAAGAATGTAACTGGAAACCTACATGAGAAACACATCCCAAAGATGATGACAAATATCGACGAAGGAACTACAAAATAGGAAGGGTGTTGAAGATGTATTTTGAGATATTTGGAGATTGGAGAATGCGGAGCAGAAACACGAAACGAGGCATTAGACAATGGGTCATCTTGTGTAAGATTGAACAGTGCCTGACAATAATGTGAGAAGTATTGACAAGATCAAAGCAAGATCAATACATAAGGAGAAGTGAGTTGAATGCAGTCATGGCAAGATACCAGATGCTGTGCATGACTGAGAAGCAAGACTAGAAAATAGAGTAAGGAATAATTTAGCTCACAATTGCAAGACCAATAGATTTTACTTCTAGGGAAATTCCAACACAAGAGTTTGATGCAATGTATAATATAGTGCGCGACACGAGCAATGCAGTAGCTTTCTGAGTTTTTGGGTCAGCATAGTCACCGGAGGATACGTTACTGATCTCATCATCGGGCGAGGTGGCAATGGTACCTTTTTGAGCTGCACGATCATAGCTGTGTGACAACAAATAGTCTATGAGGACAGTGGAAAAGTCACAACGCGATAAAAGCAATTCCACAATAGACAGAAGTGGAACTTGAATGCAGCTCTTCGTCTTATCATTTTATGTAACAAGGTATTCCTCATTTGTATCCTTTCCGCCCGTTGGGTACGGTATTTTCTAGATTACCATTACTAGTGCCGAACTGATGGCACCAATAACAAAGCCCTAGTAGGCACCGACCATGTCCATATCTTGGGTGGCCAAGATATCATAGACGCACCCCTTGCGATCAAAGTCATCTTTGAGGCTGGCACAAGCGACTTCGGCAGCTTCTTCGGTGATATCCGACTCGGCCAAGCGACGAGCACGTTCGCCGCGGGGGTCTTCCGGAAGGTAGCACAACTCTGGGAACTGAGGCTTGGCGATCTCATGAAACAACTTGCCATCGGATGGCAAGACTTGCCACTCGAGGCCGAGCTCATTGAAATCATGCAAGACGGTACTGCCATCACGGGCATAGGTGTTTCCAGTGTTAAAATCACCAGTGATACCAATGGCATTTCCAAAGGACTCCTCGGTGGCACCAATGATCTTGACACCCACAAACTCCTTGAAGGTCTTGATCTCGATGCTTTGACCGGGATAATCTTTGTCAAGGTCGATGGTATACTTGTTGTTGCGAGGGCTGATGGTGACTGGGTAGCCACCAAGGTGAGTCAAAGGTCCAAGGTGTTCAAAGTTGATGTGGTAGTGACGCTTGTCGATGCCGTCTTCCTTGGCAGCTGATCCTTGGACTTCGAGGATATCATTGCCGATGCGAATGGCGGCAGTCGTAATGTAGCTCCAGTACCGAACCATGTTCGTACGGAGGTGGATCTCGAGGTCCATGCCTTCCTTGTTGGCAAAGTTTTTGACCTTGGTCATGACAAGATCGCACTGTCCGTGAAACTCAAAGTGCTCGTTCTTCCAGGTGCGGACTGTGATGAATGAGAAAACCAAAATATATCAGGTCGAGTAGTATACAACAAATGAGCTACTTCTGGTATCGTCGAGCCAGTACTTACAATGAGGGTCGCCAGTGCTTTCGGTTGTGAATGAAGCAGGAACAGGAAAAGTAGTGTATACGTAACATTCAAAGCCGGTACCGACATTATCCAATGCAAGTTCGCCGGTGCCTGTATAACTGGTCGTACAAATATCAAAGGGAGCCGGGCAACCTGCAGGACTTGTCCCATCGTCGTAGTGGCAAGCACAAATACCTCCATCACTAATGTCAAATCCTCGCAATCCACCCAATTCGTTGTTGGTTCGGCAAATCTCATCGCACGAAAACGGGGTTTGATCGTTCACTTCGGCAAGGTCATGAGAGAATGGATCGCTACCCTCGCCCTCGGTGTCGGCATTTTTGCAATAAGCACCTCCCAAATGGTTAGTACCTGGAACCTCAACATAACCATTGGAGTGTGAGACACAAGCGGCAAGGATTGCCAAAACGACTTTCGAAGAGAATTTCATTGTTGGCTCGGTAAAAGTATAGCTTGAAATATTCGGCAGTGTTAAAAATTGTGAGACGTTTGTTGTAGGTCGTACAGCCTTTGATATTTCACTGACAATAGGAACGAGAATGTACACAGTTTTCGTACGAAAGATACAGAGAGATACCAACATTTTCTGACGTGTTAGAGAATTAGGGGAGAGTATTTTTCACCTGAAGTCTATATTTCGGACTATTATTGTGAATGACTACATACAACACTCCACTGGAAACAAGTTCGTCTGCGCCATATATATTATTTCGGAGCAATTGGAAAACAGCTTCATCTGTCATTTCGGAAAAATAAAAAACCTTTTATATATATATCTCGATAGATGTGTTCGGTCCATTGCTACTGCGTGTACGTGGTTGCACTCAACCGCGAACTCTGCTGTGGCGCAGACAAACTTTTTTCCCATCCTCGTGCAGTCATTCTGCGTGTCATTCATCACATAGACTTCACGTAAGGAAACTCTCATCGAAGCCACAGCGATTCGCCGTGAGAGTTTTCCAACGTGAAGTGCATGTATTCGGACAAAGATATTGTATGATGAATGACTACAAACGACACTCCACTGGAAAAATCGTCATATATATATATTATTTCGAATCAATTGGAAAACAGCTTCATCCGTCATTTCGGAACCAACCTATAGCACTTATATATGATCCATTGGGCACATTCCACTGCTATATTGAATATCAATGACTACATACGACGCTGGAAACAAGGATGCATCTTCTGTTACCGATACCTACTGTGTTTCACAGTCGTGGTAAAAATGTAAAAAATAACAAACAGTATTATCGTAGGATGAACACAGCACCAGGGGTATACGGTACTGTTCCTGCTAGTTTTCTGCACACTTCCGAAGTGACTGAGACTGACCCAGATCCTCGGTAGTCTTTGGATGACATGGTGCTGTAACGCATCTGGACCAGGCACCATTCCCAAAACCACCCTTGTTGTTTGCTAGATGGGTGCACGAATGGATGGCTTCATTCACTCTTGAGATGATAAAATCATTCATAGGCACCATTTGTTATACAAATTTTCATTCAAACGAGTGTTATATCATAGATATAGAATAGCATGGTGGTGAGCCCCAAACAACAACAATTTTGTTATTTTGTTATGCCTGCTAATGACGCCGTTGTGGATTCATTCCCAAGGCCATCCCATTAGACGTCCTCGTGGTACTTCGTTTTCCTCCTCCTTGTTGGTACACAAAGGTTTGTCCATTGGGCGTTTGC